ACTTCCACAGGTGGCAGTGAAATAACTCTGTCCAGTTCTGTATACAATCTTTAAAGTAAAAATTGACAATGCAAAGCATGAACAATGCAAAGTTAAGTGTCTCTGGGCAAAAGTGGTTTTGTGTTTTTCAGCACAGACGGTTCACAACTAAACATAAATGTGACTGAGAACTAACGATGAAGGGTATATTTTTTTTCCAGGAGTAGACTTTAATGGATTAACTCGTTCAAGCTAATCAACCTCTGACATCATACAGCTGTGTTTTAATGTCAACCCTCTCTAACATGTACAGTAAATGAAGTCAAACTGTTTTTAAGTCTAACAAACGTTCAGTTCGTTGACCCTCGTGCCTCAGTTTCCTTTTTGTCCACACACTAGGTTTGCAGGTGACTCGACCTGGTTGTTAATCAAACCTCAGCTCAGGTTGCTAACTGAAAAACAAACATCTGAAGGAATCTTTTGGCTTTTTTTAAAGAACCAGTGTAATAAAACTGAACTTTTACTATAATCCTGTAGTGGACTGACTTGGCCAGTGTGTGGCGTGCTGCTGCTGCTGTGTTTTTGTAGAATAAGGAGAGACTTCTTCAGGGAAACATGTCTCATTATAAACCGTTGTCTTTATTTCAACTCGGCTCAGTTCACTTCTCTCAGGCTTTAACTCAGTCTTTGAGGAAGAACTAGATCCAATAAGAATAATACTGTTATTAAAGATAAGTTTAATACTTCTGGAGAATAGTTTTACATGTACTTTTAGGTGATAGATAAATGGTTTGATAATACACTTTCTGTAAGATAAAGCTATAGACTGTTGGCTGCAGCTTTGTGTTTTTTTTCTTTTCTTTCAATACTAGTTCTCTAATGAAAGCTGCAAACTAATTTGTTAATATTTAGGTTTTTGGTTTTTTTTGCTTCTCTTCATACATTAATCTAAACCAGGAAACCTCTGAAGTTGAACCGTTGCATCACATCTGTCTGAAGTTTTTCAATCGGTGTTTCTCACACAATTCTTGTACTATTCACTCAGTGTCTTTGTTCACATGTTACAGGTCAGATATTTTGTACATTTGTAGTGAGTGACTCTGACAGCAGCTGCTTCTCTTTTCTGTGTTACAAAGTATGTGTTTATAGAGAGTAATAATCTGCTGCTGCCGCAGAAGACAAAGATCAGGACAGAAACCTGTGTGTGGAGTGGGTTGAAGATGATGTCTGTCTACCTTTAAAGATCTCTGGTAATTTATTTTTGAATAAAATGTTTACCTAATGAATAAATCGTCAAAATACGACTGTTGGTTCCTTTCATTTTTAACAGGATGTCAAACATGGGAGTGGCTTGATGCTCTTCCTGACTCTGCAGAGCAGGTGTTGGTTTTTTTGTTGTTTTATATTCTGGTTGAATAAACTGAACCCAGGTGATCTTCGCCCCGTCTACTTTGACACCTCATTTTGGGGACTGAATATGAAATAATGGAACGTTTTACATTGTTTTTTTAAATACTGACTGATGTAGATCAGGGTTTAGTAAATTCAAACATTCTATTTTATTAAACAGAACTTCTTAGAATCAACTTTAGAACTAAAGGTAACCATTCAGATTTTCTAGTAAGATAACTAAAAAGATCTAAGATGCAAATTTAACCTTTATTTTTCTTGTTTAAAAACGTTTTAAACAAGGAGCTCTGCAACCTATAAGTCTCATTACTGCCACCTGTTGGTCTTTGTTGTAATAAAATCATCGATACTACTATTTTATCGATTAAAAATAAATAAATAAGTACAAAACCAAAACAATCAGGTAAATCCCTACCTGGCCAGGCTAAAGGGATGGTCTTGGTTCGGTGCTTTTTCACCTCCTCTTTAGTCAGACTTTCAGTCATCAACCGCTTCTTCAAGGCTAAAATACACAAAAATAACACAATTTAATCAGAAATAATTAACTGCAGAAATAAATCACAGTAGAAGAAAACATTATATTATTATTAAATGATTTTCACTTGCGTCTTTTGCACAATATTTTACTAAAACTCTGGTCACCTACGTCTGTGACGTCAGACTGATTTACATACACACCTATCGTTCCATCATTCTTTCCATTCTTTTTTTTTTTCAGTTTAATCTAGTTCAGCACTGTTTCCGAACATTTTCTCGTGTTGCAAACACTTTTTGTTGTTCCCGCTTGTGATACCGGGAAATGACGTCACCAGTACTCACCTTTTTCCGATTTAGACGTTAACTTTACTACAAAAATTGCGTTCTAAGTTAAAAACGTTTTGTGAAAAGTGGAAGGAAATATAATTTCGATTCACGGCAAATAATTACCGTCATTAAGTCAATAAGTTTCATCGTGTCATCCACCCGGTCACGATTAATCCGGCAGTGGTGGATTGTGGGAATGTTAAGGCTTTACCAATGACCTAACGAAGTAATCAGTGATGTCCAGGGAGAAAATATTTAATATTAAATAATGAGGTCACTATTGTCACATTTAAAAGAAAATACAACAAAGTGGTACTAAATCATTTGGTCTGTACAATAAAAAACATTTTTCATATAAAAAATATATTTCAAAGATTAGTCTCAACTGGTGCAACATGTTATTTAAAATGAACGAACTTGAAGACGCTAAAGTTACGTTAGGACTATAAATGTGAACGTGAACTTCAGTAAATGTAAAAAAAAATTTAAAAAATACTTACTGTTCTTACCAATAATTATTTGTAGAACACAAACGTCAAACCAAGCGTTCCATAAATCCGTTGTTTTATCCGTGTTTTAGTTCCAACGTCTTTTTTTATAGCCACGGAAGCTAATTCTGTTAGTTCGTATTCTGACTAATTTTAGTGATGAGAAAGTGGTAAACGAGGGTAAAGTCGCGTTGTAACTCAAACTACAGGACGCTAAACAAAAAAACGGATCAAAAACTAAGTAAATAGGAACTCTGTGATTAAATATGTATTTAAATAACGAGAGAGAGCTAACGAGCGGTGTTGCCAGATCAACAAGTGACCCACTCTTCACCGATGTCGTGATCCCACAACGAAGCAGAGGAACCACTTAATGAGTCATATGAGAAAAACATTATTTTAAATTTCAAACCACACCATCAACACGTTTAACCTTCCTCACCATTTTTGTTTAAATAACAAAACCTATAATTCTACGTCTTTTTGGCCTTATCAAAATAATACATTTTGACAGTTTGGTACAAATACATCATGGTGTACTTTTAGGGTAAAACGTACATTTAAAAAACAGCTACAGGGGTTAGAATTTCCCCATTACTTACAGATACAAGACCGAAAAGAATGACTCATTTGACCTGGCAGCGGAAACTGGGCGATACAATTATAACAGCCAAAGGTGCTTTCATACATACTTCATACATTGACATAAATATGTACTTAAGTGATTTGGGTTAATTGTTCCTCGCTGCTGAGCTGTTCATATAGACTTTTTTCATTTGTGCCAAATACGGTTTAAAAACAGGTGAATATCCAGAAATGACCAACAGGAGGAGCCACAGTTTTAAAAATGCATTTTAATCATTGCGCTAACTGTAGGCTGCACAATGAGAAACATTGACAAAGGGTTTACGACATAGACATGGAAGATCTCGACAATGTTGTTCTTCTACACAAAGGTTGTTTTCTAATGTATACAACTGAAAACACCTAAATTAGAAGTGGGGGGGGGGGGGGGGCTACAGCAACAAAAGCATCAAACTTCATTTAATACTAAAACAAGAAGACGACCTATTTCTGGTATAAAACACAAATGATAGTGAATCTCTTTCAGTTTGGCACATTCACGTCAGAACCCTTTGATGTATGTGTGTGTGTTTTAAAAAAAATGATGACAGTACAAACATCCAATGTGATTTTTGCTTCAAATGATGACAGTACAAACATCCAATGTAATGAGGTCAAACTTTGGGTTTTCACAATAAAGAAAAATGGCTGAAACACAGAGGGGAATATTCAGACGCTGTGTCCCAGGTCAGGGTCGGCAGCCTTCTTTGTTTGTGGTTTGTGGTTAGTTTCAGGTTCTTCTCACCAGAAGACGACCTATGAATGTTGTGATTTTTCATGTTTGTCTCTAACAGCGGTTCACTTGAATCTAGATACGTAACACAATCAACACCAAACTGAACTAACAATAACTAAAGTGTAAAAGATGAGACCCTTTTAAAAAACCATGTGACTAATGAATTCAACAGAGTGTATAAACACGTGAGTGAAGTAAATCTACAGAGGAAGAAACTGAAGTTTCCAGATTTTAACTAAACAGCGGTGTTGATGTCATTACAGTGAAATGCATTAAATACAAGTCAGAATTTTTTTTTTTCTCTCTCAAAAAAACAGAGATTGTCAGAGGCTGCAGACCACGGATTGGGACACAGTTGCAGTGAAGGATTACAGAACGTTAAAGTCTGAACTTTCATTACATTCATTGTAAATTTCCCATTTGTTTTTCCGGATGTTTTTGTTGTTGTTTTCTTAAACCACCCCCAGAGGAAGTGAAGGAGCAGAGTGGTTTGTGGGTCAGTGTCTCCTTCCAAAGCTCCTCATTTTCCCACATCTGATATTTTTGGCTTGAACAAAATTAAAACCTTTAACAGTTTTGAGAATGGAACTGCTCAATGGTTCATTCAACCATAATATTCATTAAAAAAAGTAAAAACTGATCAGTTCATGAAGATAAGCCCGGCATCAAAGAAACTCCTGTAAATAAATACAAATGATTTTATAACTAAAATGTGTTTAAACTTGAACTATCAAACAAGTTTTTTTTACATGATTCTGTATGTATTTAATGATAGTTTGAATTGTTCCTCTTGGTTCTATGGCAGTTTTCTGTAGGATTTTCCATTCACATCTACACACAAGTTCACTTCAAGGTGATTTAATACTTTTGGTTTAGAATTTTACTGCAGAGGGAAAATCCTCTCCATCTGTAGCATCAATTTAAAAAAATAAATGAAACCACTGCAGAAACAAAATAGTTCTATTGCATTTGGAGGAAGTAAAAAAAATATATGCAGTTAAATCTCATGATTAATGTGTTTGGGTGGTGACGAGACCAGACTGCCACCGTCTCCTCCGTCCCTGCTGCCGTCACTCACCCACAGTCTTTGTACAGTCTTTGTTAGTCCAGAAAAGAACAGGTTCTGCCCCAGGAACCACAGGTTGGTCTACTCTAATTCTGCTGAAGGCTCCGCTTCAGCTTTCAGACCAAGGCTCTGATGGGGAAGGAGAAGGCGGCCCCCAGTGCCAAACCCAGGGACAGGAAGAAGGCCATGATGGCTCCTGCCGTCTCCGCCTCGTGCGGCGACACTTTCCTGTTCAGAATAAAAAGAAGTAATTTAACGACTGAAGCTCTTTGGACTGAAATCTCTGTGTTTTTTTGGTCTGATTAACTCTCCGAAATAAAACAGTTGCAGCTTTCAAGTTTTCTCTGACAACACGAAATTCAAAGAGTTGATTTCTAACTTTGGTTTATGAGTGTGTGTGTGTGTTTGTTTACTTTGGTCCGAAGCACATGCAGAGACTGGCCAGGTATCCGTTGGAGAAAGAGAAGAGAGTCATGAAGATGATGTACCAGGCGTCGTGGCCAAACAGCACTGGGAGATAGTGACGAGGCTCAACGTTGCACAACATGAAGAGAGGGATGAAGACGACTCGGAGGACCACCAGGACGGGCAGCCACAGACTGTCTTTACCTGGCTGCAGACCAAAGAAGAAGAGAAAACATCAGGGTTTATCCTGGAGTGAGGCTTCTGCTAACAGAGAAACCGAGCCACGAAAGGACCAGAAACGATTTTGGCCTCTGAGTAGAGATGTTAAAAAATATTGATACACTGGAATATTGTGATATTTCCTTTCCTGATTCTGTATGAATCTCCTCCATCAGTTATTGATTTTTTTTATCTCCAATTCCCAGTCCAATATTCCTGGTGTTGATTCATTTTCTTTTTCTCCTCTAGTGATCCCAAATGTAGATCCCTCTGTTCCAGTGTTAGGAACTGATGTTCAGATGAAACAGAGTCTGAGACTAGGATCACACTGGGACTACAGTTACATTAGAGGAAAAGAAACCTCAATATATCATATCCGTGCCCCTGTATAGTGATATGTATCGTATCAGACAGATTCTTGCCGATACAGAGCCCTACCTCTAGGTGACAAAGATGTTCAAATA